AGAACTTTTCTCAAAGTGATATACCAATCAAATTTTTATGTATCATTATTAGAATGTGATTTCCATTAATTTAAGCACCATATCTTCTATTAGGAATTATTGTGCATATCTAGAGAAGGTTTATGTGAATATAAATTTTTGAATTATGGCTTGAGTTCTAGAATTTGTTTGATTCTCTCTCGAGGTGAAATCTTAGGCAATACTCACTGAAAGAGATGATTTAGGCCATCTTTGGACTATTGAAGCCTTTCTGGCCTACCTTTGTATAATTTATCCTTAGTTTATCCCTTTGAGCTTAATTTTCCTTTTCTTTATTAAGCACATAATTAATTTTGCCTAGCTTTTGATTTTATTTCCAATTTTGCACCTTTTATTCTAAAGTATTTATATCATTTTAGGAAATATTTGAGCTAAACGTAAAACAAAGTAGAAAGTTGGAATTGCAAAAAAAAAGTTCAAATGTGTTAGAATTTACCCCACTACCTACAATAAAAAGAAATAAGTTTGGGGGTGTTAAAAGTGTGAAGAAAAAAAGGGATGAAAATCAAAAGAACAAAGTGTTTGATAAATGAAAGAATGTGAAAAAAAAAATGAAAAAGGGTGTACTTGGACAATGAAAATTAAGCTTGAATAGGTCTTAGAATAATTATGTGCGTAGAGAGATTTGAGCTACATTATATCCCATATTTGACCTTGACCCTAACTATATATTACAAGCTAATAATGCCTTCTAGATCCTTGATCAAGAGTTAGTCTACATTAGCAAAAAGAGAAATGAAAGCAAACATATGGAACTCTAGTACTAATTTGAGTTTTGCATGAGAATAAACTTATCCAGACGACATGATGTTCTTGGTAAAAGATTGCGTACACACACGAGAATCCATTTGAGAATCAACTTGCATTTGAATTGAAATGTGAACTTGGATAATATTTATGTTATGTTTTGAGTTGAAATAGGGGATAACTTATGAGGAAATTAAAGGTGATCATTGATTTGGTGCAACTTACTCCCAGTTAGTTATGTTTTTCATTTATGTTATTACTTTTTATTTTTAACTTTGCTTGAGCACTAGCAAAATCTTAAGTTTGGGAGTGTAATAACTATACTATATAAAGTTATTTTGTTATATTTTTGGTGCTTAAGGAGCTAAGTCATTGAGGTTTTAGGTTCAAAATTTAATATTTTAGTTGTTTTTATTATTTCGATTCAAAGGCATGTTGAGTAGTTTAGTTTTAGTTCTTTTAGTTTAATTTTATGTTAAATTGCCTTACTTTATTTTAAGTTTAGTTATTTCTGATCAATTTGATTGCTTTTATAGGCAAAATGATGAAAAGATCTTATTTGGTGTTAATCCGTGCGTATGGTGATGGCTTCATTCATATATGCTGTGGTATTTTAAGCATATATTTCAATCCAAAAGTCCAAATGACATGATTTTTGAACCATTGGAAAGATAAGAGATAGAGCTACAACTTTCAATCTACCACTTTTCCCCCAATTTGGATCAGAACATGGTGAAAATTGCATTATAAGGAGGTATACTGTGTCAGTTTCTACACAAGGTAGCAATGGAAAACGAAGGTCACGACCTTCCAAAGAGGGAGGCCACAGTGCCCTTGATGCCTAAAGCTCTTTACTAAAACCCAAGAGCCTGGTTCCATAGAGCTGGTGAAGCATGGCCATGGCGCCATTGAAGGAAATCAACTGAGCATTGTAACGAAGCGGATGTGCCATGGTGCTCTAAAAAGCAAGGTTGTGGTGCCTAGTTCCAATAGTCAAGTTTTCCTTTCCTAAATTTCTGAAAATTAGGTCTTTTTAGAGGCTATAAAAAGGCAACTTTAATGCAATCAAAAGAGAGGTTCTTACTAGGTTTTCTCTAGAGAAAAGTTACCACAAAACAACTAAGAAAGCAAAAAAGATTGTGCAAGATTAAAGATCGAAAATCTGACAAATCTTTAGTTTTCTATTCTTTTCTTTTTATTCTTAGTTTCTTTTAAATTATTACAATGGTTAAATTTCTTTAGAGTATGTTTTTATGTTTAAGCATAAACTAATTTACTTTTTCTAAGATTGCAGTTGAACTCAACATCTAGTTTGAATTCTTTATATCTCTTTTGCTTATTTTCAATAACAATGAGTTGTTTATTTCAATTCTATGTTTAATGCTTCTAATTGCTTGATCATCAGTTAGGTTGATTTGGAAACCTAAATGTAACTTGATAAAGGGAGTTTAGAGTAGGCCATGAATGGAATAGCCTATGTTCAATATTAATTGGATGGGATGATTGATTTGGTTTGTTTATAGAATAGACATATACCTATGTGTCATATATAGCCAAGATTAGAGCCTGAACTTAATGAGTCTATCTTTAATTTAATTTGGATAGATATGTTATAAATTAATTGCTATAGTAAACTAATTGAGGGAGATAGTTTTGTAAGAACTTCGATAGAGACTTATAAATAGCTTGAGATTCTAGGTTAGAAACTCAATTTATTGAAGTAAGGCTAGAGAGAGACAAGATTCAGATGAAATGTTAAGGGATATTGTAATCCTAAGCTTTTCTTAATTGAATTCTTCAAGTCAAGTTTTGCTAATTAGCTTTTAGATTTAATTTAATAATTAATTAGTTATAGTTTTGTTTTTAGTTAATCAATTTAATTTGATTGTTTGAATAAAATTAGGCTGTGTTAATTTTAGTACTTAGCAATAGTTGGAATAAATTTTTGTGGGATTCGATACTCTACTTTCTTCTATATTACTTGTTACAATACGTGCACTTGTATAATAAAATTTGACAACATCATGGAAAAGAAATTGAAAACCTATGTTTTGAGTAACTTTGTGATGAAAATGGATATCCCCATAATTTTTCAGCCCTAAGAATCCACAACAAAATGTAATGGAAAGAAAAAATAAGACTTTAGAAGAGATGGCTAGAACTAGCTATGTGAGAACAATTTACCTAGGTATTTTTGGGCCGAAGCTATTAATAATTCATGTTATATTGCAAATAGAGTAATGGTTGGGCCAACATTGAAGAAAACTCCCTATGAACATTACAAAGGAAAAAAACCTAATCTTGCCTACTTTCATCCTTTTAGTTGTAAATGCTATATATTTAACAATGGAAAAGACAACTTTGGAAAATTTGATGCTAAAAGTGATGAAGGAACCTTTCTAAGATACTATTTAACTTTTAAAACTTATAGAGTGTTTAACAAAAGGACATTAATTGTTGAAGAATCTATTCATGTTTTTTTTTTGATGATTTTAACCCTTTTCCTAAAAGGAAAATTATGATTATGATGTATGTATCCTTCAAGAACAAATTGAAGAGCTTAATCTCAATATTGAAGGATCCGACGTGAATGAATAAGCATCAGAACAAGAAAAGCAACAAATTAAATAAATTGTTGAAGAAGGTGAGCCTAGTTATCCAATGGTAAGAAAAGAGCTTAATGAAAGTAAAATCATTGGTGATCCTAATCAAAGGGTATGAATTAGAGCTAAAGTTTAAAATGTTTGTGAGTATGTTGCCTTTATTTCCCAAATTGAACATAAAAATATTGATGAAGCCTAAGATAATGACTATTGGATACTAGCTATGTAAGAAGAATTAAATCAATTTGATAAATGTCAAGTATGGGAGCTAGTTCCTAGTCTAAATGATTATCCAATTGTAGGTACTAAATGGGTCTTCAAGAACAAAGTGGACAAAAATGGAGCCATAACTAGAAACAAAACTAGGTTAATTGCCAAAGGATATAGTCAAGATGAAAAAATAGATTATGATGATAATTATGCTCTAGTAGCTAGAGTAGACACTATTAGAATGCTTTTAGCTTTTGTATGTTATATGAATTTTAAGCTATATCAAATGGATGTGAAGAGTGCTTTTCTAAATGGACTCATAAATGAAGAAGTATATGTTAAACAACCTCCCGATTTTGACAGTCTTACTTTTCCAAATCATGTTTTTATATTAAGAAAAGCCTTCTATGGTTTAAAGAAAGCTCTTCAAGCTTGGTATGAAACTTTATCAAAATTCTTATTCAAAAATGATTTTAATAGATGGAAGGTTGATAAAATTCTTTTCATCAAAAGCAAAAGCAAAGACACTTTAATTGTGCAAGTTTATATTTATGATATTATTTTTGGTGTTACTAATGAGCTTTTTGTCAAGAGTTTGCTAAGACTGTGTAAGGAGAATTTGATATGAGAATGATGGGTGAGCTAAACTACTTTCTTGGATTGCAAATTAAACAAAAGAAAGTTGATTCATAAGTCAAGCTAAGTGTACAAAAGACATGCTTAAGAAATTTAGTGTGAAAAGTACAAGAATATACCACACACCAATGAACACCTTAACAATGCTTCACAAGGATGAAAAAGGAATGCTTGTAGATCGAAAGCTTTATGGACCCATGATTGGTTCCTTACTTTATCTTACTACTAGTAGACCAAACATAAGCTTTTGTGTAGCGTTATGTGATAGGTTTCAATCTTCTACTCATTTAAGTGCTACCAAAGAATCTTTAGGCACTTAAAAGACACAACTAATTTAGGAATATGGTATCCAAGGAGTTCCACTCTTGATTTCTATTCGTACTTGGATGCCGACTTTGGTGGATGCAAAATAGATAGAAAGAGCACTTTCAGTACATGCCTGTTTTTAGGTAGCATGTTGATCTATTGGATTTCAAAGAAATAAAATAGTGTAGCTTAATCCACTACAGAAGCTAAGTATGTGGCTCTCAAGAGTTGTTGTGCTCAAGTGCTATGGATGAAGCAACAATTAAAAGATTATGGACTAAGTATGAAAAGAATTTAATTAAATGTGATAATACTAGTGCCATAAAACTCACAAAAGACTCCATCCATCACTCTAGGACTAAACCCATAGAAATTAGGCATCATTTCATTAAAGACCATGTTAAAAAACAAGACACTGTTTTTGAATATGTTGGTACCAAAGACTAATTAGCTGATATTTTCACTAACCACTTGATAGAGAACAATTTTGCAAAATAAAAAGTGAATTAGGTATTATGAATCCAGCTTAGATGAATTAGATGATGAAAATTGGGATACTCTTGATGGATTTTGATGTATACAATTTAAGTTGATGAAGTGCATACTTTACTTTGAACATTCTTGACTTTTTGATAATGTAGATGATAAAAGTGCTAAATGATTGTTTTCATATTAAGATGCATGTTTCTGTAAATTTGATGTAAGATATGTTCATGCATTCATCACTCATTTTTGCATACATGTGCATAGCCATTCAATTCAAGAAATACCTCAAATCTTGTGGAAAAGAACAAATTTTTGGAAAAATCCAAGTTTTAATCTAAAAATCTCACTTGCACTGGATCCAAATATTTCTTCAAGTGTTTTTGCACAAGTTATGAACTCATCGTTGATCAAAAAACTCATTTCTAGACCTTTTTGCTTGTTTTTGAAAGTTAAAACTCAGCTTTTCAAAGCCAGCTAAGGGCGTCTATAGATATATCAAAATTTCTATTGATAGATAGCTTCCAAAGGCCTAGATCAAAACCCCCATGGCCTATCTATCGATAGATCATTCATATCTATCGATAGATAGAAGACAAAAACCAAAAATAAAAATTTTGTGCCCTATCTATCAATAGATAGTGGTCTTTAGCCAAAAATAAAAATGCTTAGTCCTACTATTGATAGATACTCACGATCTATCGAAAGACAACTTGTTTTAAGTGGCCTGATCGTACATTTATTCCTAAATGCATGACACCCCATCCCTTATTCTCTTAAATCCTCACCCCTCAACCGTGTTTTTCCTAATTCTAATCCATTTAAAGTGTTTTTTCTAACACTTTTAAGCCTCAAAACTACCAAATTTTCACAAATCAGCCTTGAATTTCCAACAAATTTTGAGTTAGGCTTTCCCAAACCCTAGGTTTAACATTTCTCCAATTCTTAGATTTTGTTTAGTTTTGGGACAAATTGGTCCAATTAACTCAATCTCTTCACTTTCCTACACAATTCTACTAAACCATTTTCCTATTTGTTCCTCTAATTCCACAATCTCTAAAATTCCCAATATGAGTCACGACCCAAAACAAATCAAAGTCACCTATCAACCAAATTATAGTGCCTCAACCACTGTCGCTCGTTCTCACACCTTTTTAGGATTCCTTTCAACACAACTTCTCTTATCCATCTCACGTGCAAAAATTTCAGAATGACTTCGTTGAGATCATGGTAATGCTTGGTTGCATTATCAATTTTAATTACCTTGAGTCAATTAGTTTCCTATATCTGACTACATTTAAGTGTCTAGATTGGACCTACATGCTTAAGTTCAATCGAAAATTCTATCAGAACTTAGTGGGTGTCTTTTATTTCAATGCTAAAACCAAATTTACTGATGTTGTCACAAGGGAAACGGCGACACATGATGATAAGTTTAAGATATATGTTATACAAAAATGCATTTTGGTTACTCAAGGTCTCTTAGATAGCATCCTACATTTGCATGTCCAACAAAAGGATAACGGGAATGTTTTTAATGATGTTGAATTGTGGTCCATGTTTGTGTATCCATATCCTAGTGACTAGGGCCTCTTTAGTGCTAAAAGGTTGTCCTTTTATGATAAAGTGCTCCATTTGATCATCAGCCACATTATCCAACCTCACTGGTTCAATTACTCTATTGTCATAGGTGAAGACCTTTGGTTCATTTATCATATCAAGAAAAACCATAGGATTGACCTTATGAAATTCATTATGATGATTTGTTAAGGATCATCAATGGAAGCATTAAAATGCTATTACATGGTATGGTTGTGAGTGAGATTCTCAACCACTTTGGGGTAAACACCAATTGAGATCCACCGATGTCACACACTTTGTTTAA